GAGGTTTCCCCTTATGGTGTTGCTGTGGCCACTGACACTGAAGAATGCCCCACTCCCAGCCCTGGGCCTGCTGCATCTCGGAGTTTGTACATTTGCACCAAGGCTGCTCCAGGGCTTCCTGGCACCCACTGGGCCTGTCCGCAGGGTTTCATCCCTTGACCCTACAGCCACAGCTGGGACCCTCCCTGGACCCACTGGCCTGGTGTCCACACTGGTGTCCTTAGCCTGTGATCTTGGCTCATCTTAAGACTGTGGTCCTGTGTCAGTCCTCTGACTTTGTGTGCCCATCCTCATTTGGGTTTGTGGGTACCAATCCCTGACTGTGCTCCCTAGGTATCCCCAGCCAGGCAGGTCAGCCTGCAGCTCCTCTTCCTTGAGCACCTCACCCCCTCCAGGCAGTTACGTGTGTATGCCCCCTACCACAGCACGAGCTTTACCTGGTGCAGAGGGAGCCCCTGACCCAAGATGACCATTCATGTCCTCCCCCTGGCAGATGTGAATTTGAGGTGGCAGAAGGAGAGTGCTCATTGGAACTGGCCACTTGAGCTGGTGAGGAATAGGGAGTGTGGGCTGACTGGGCACATGGTTAAACAGAGAGCAGGAGCAGGAGGAGGCAGATGCAGAGAGAAAAGCAGAGATGGGAACCTGGGAACCAGAAATCAAAAGACAAAGGACAGACAGACCGACACAGACAGAGGCTGCCTCCTTCCTGCTGGCTTTCCAGTCCCTAATGTTCCTAGGTCCAGGCCTCATGAGAGTTTCCTGTTTCTCACATGAAATCCTCTTTTACTTAAGCTAGCTCCAGTAGGTTCTTTTCTTCTTCTTCTTCTTTTTTTTTTTTTTGAGACAGAGTTTCACTTTTGTTGCCCAGGCTGGAGTGCAATGGTGCAGTCTCGAATCACCGCAACCTCTACCTCCTGGGTTCAAGAAATTTTCCTGCCTTAGCTTCCCCAGTAGCTGGGATTACAGGTGTCCGTCACCACACCTGGTTAATTTTTTTTTGTATTTTCAGTAGAGACGAGGTTTCACCATGTTGGCCAGGCTGGTCTTGAACTCCTGACCTCAGGTGATCCACTCACCTTGGCCTCCCAAACTGCTGGAATTATATGGGTGAGCCACTATGCCCAGCCTCCAGTAGGTTCTGTTGCTAATGGTCCAGAGGGATTTGGCCGAGACAGCACAGCACAGGGGGATCTGTAGATTCAGTCAGTCACACTGCGAGGCTGACCCGAGGCTGCTGTTCCTGACTGGACCACATTCTCATCTTACCAACCCTCTTGGTGAAGACATCCAGGAGGGACATTTCCCTCTGCTTTCCCCCCCTGATTCTTGCCTCCCTGATGGCCCTCCTTTCTCTTTGCTCACGTGTCTCCCCAGCATATGGGCCTCCCTGAACCTCCTGTCCTTCTGCCCTGCTGGTCCCTGATGCTAGGCAGCCCCTGTGCTCTCCTCCTCATTCCATAGGAGAGACTCCTAGTGCAGGGCTGACGGTGTCCGCTGAAAAGCCAGGTTGGGCCGTACAATCCTGTCACCTGGTCTCAAAGACTTCCCTCTAAGACTGCCTTCCTCTTTCCTCCCCGACCATCCACTGGGATGCGACTTCTGTAAATACACATCCTTTGCCCTGAACTGTCCCTCATCGAATGTCCCTATGAGCTCTTGTTCTCTTTTGCTCCCAGGAGAGGCACAACCTTCACACCCTTCAACCCCTACCCCTTCTCCACCTGTGCCTTCCGTCCTCCCAAGACCTTGGTCCTTTTCTTCCCACTCTCTCCAATCTGTTTACACGGGCTCCACCTCAACGAGGTCACTGATTCCACCCTCAAAGACAGTTCCAGCCCTTGGCCTCTCTTTCATAGCTCCCGACTCTTAGGCAATGGTTTCCCCTAACGTTTCCCATAACTTGTCATCAGCTTGTCTTTGGGGGAATTTTAATGTGTTATGTTTGACGGATGTTTTCTGCCAAGTGTTTGGCCTCTTCCTTTTTTTAAATGGTGCTATACTTTGGGAAATGACTCTTAATTCTTATTTCAAAACTTATCCCTCCTACTTCATCAGGGCCTGGTACCCACGACAGATCAAGCTTGCTTTCAGTCCAGCTGAGCAATGGCTGTGCTAGGTAATATGGGGTTGTTATTACACATGCTATTTGTTAAGTACATCAGGGCAGGATTTGGATCCTGACTGTGCATCTTTTGGTAACTCACTTCACCTATCTAAACCTTGGCTCTCCCATTGTAAAAGGCGAATAATTCCTCCCTCCTACATTTGTGTGAGATCACGTATTTAGTCCACACGTGTACTGAGTAACTGCTACAGGCTGTGAATAAAACAGATGAATTTTACCCCTGCTTCAGGCATGAATCAAACAATAATACAAATATTGAATTACAAACCCTGATAATTTGTAGGTGTAGGGAACTACGAAATCATACATTAGGGGCACCTGGCCTGGCCAAGGACAACAGGGCTGATCTCAAGGACAAGTAGGAAAGAAGGAGGAGGTAACTTCATGTCAAGGCCCTTCAGGTGGGAGAGAACAGACATGTTGCACTTTGGCTGAAGTGATGCAAGGTTGGAGAGGTCTGTGGGAGTTTTGTTATTATCCTAGAATCCCTGGAAAGCACTGAGGGCTTAATAAGGTCAGGAAAATTAGCGGGGCATGGTGGCACATGCCGAGTGAGGCAGGAGAATCACTGGAACCCAGGAGGCAGAGGTTGCAGTCAGGTGAGATCACATTATTGCCCTTCAGTCTGAACAAGAGCCAAACTCCGTCAAAAGAAAGAAAGAGGGGAGGGGAAGGAAGGGGAGGGTGTGGTGGCTCACGCCTATAAGCACTTTGGGAGGCTGAGGCAGGCGGATCACAAGGTTAGGAGTTCGAGACCAGCCTGACCAACATGGTGAAACCCCCTCTCTACTAAAAATACAAAAAAAAAAAAATAATAAGCTGGGCGTGGTGGTGGACACCTGTAATCCCAGCTACTCGGGAGGCTGAGGCAGGAGAATTGCTCGAACCCAGGAGACAGAGGTTGCAGTGAGCTGAGATGGCACCATTGCACTCCAGCCTGGGCGACAGAGCAAGAGTCTGTCTCAAAAATAAATAAATAAATAAATAAATAAATAAATAAAGGCAGCAACAAGATCAGATTTTTGTTTTTAAGTAGCTCACTTTAGCAGCAGTACTGAGAACTGCAAAAGTACTGAGGTGAGAGATGACCAGGGTGTCGGTAAGATGTGGATGTGAGAAATTTCTAGACACTTAATTTCTATGTAGAGCTAATAATCACCAATATCCAGATAAGAAAACAGAAGCTACTCAGAAAGGTTAATTAACATGCCCAACTTCATACACTTAGCATATGGCGGAGTCCATTTCCTAATCATGAATCAGCCGAGGGTACTGGGGATATCATTGCCACAGCTCACAATGTTTCTCACAGTTGTCCTGGGTTCAGGGCCAAGGCCCAAACAGTTCTCCATGGGGATCTTAGTAGTTTACCACCCAACCTGGGTCCCTTTGACTTGCCTGATGATAGTGTTGCTGAAGACCAGAGACGCAGGAGCTGGGGAAAGCAGCAGAGTGTTACACAATTGTCAACGGAGTGGCCTTCTCACAGAGAACAGATCTAGAATTTTCCTGGGCAACAATAACCTGGTGTCAACAGGATCTGAATACTATAGTCCCTATTGGTCGTGAATTAATAAGAAGAAAATTGGTTGGGTGAGATGGCTTACACCTGTAATTCCAGCACTTTGGGAGGCTGAGGTGGGAGGACTGCTTGAGCTCAGGAGTTCAAGACCAGCCTGGGCACAATAGCAAGACCCTGTCTCTGTTTTCAAAAATAAATAATGAAAATTTTTTGTTTTAAAAGAAGAAAATCATGTACTGAATGCTTATTGCATACTCAGTGCACAGGCATTATTTAAGTACATGTAAGCTGCGGAGGCCATAAAAAAGGGAATCCTAATGTCCTTATTTCCCAGCTAGGGAACCTGAGGCTCCAGAGAGGGAAAGGAACTTGTCCGAAGTCATACAATGAGTTACTGACAGAGACAGATATGGAAGGAACCTGAGGAGCCGTATTCACATCCAAAGCACTTTATACAGTACCAAGATGAAATCATTTGATAGTTATAAGGTCAGATATAATAGTTAAATTCTGGAAGAAGTTATCAGTGGACCGGGTACCTCTCTTTCTATGAAAGGAGGCTGGAAGACGGAACCCCTTAATCCATTCTGGCCCGGTTCCCTCGGGAAATGCTCCCTTAGTATTCTTTTTTATTCAAAAGCTTGACAAGCCCAGGACTAAAGTGTCTTGGCTGTCTCAGCTCCACTGTAAAGTGCCTGGGAGAGGACCTACGTGCTCAATTTATAAATGAGAAGGGCCGGGCCGGCGTTTTCAGACAAAAAGGTCACAGGAGTGAGTGAAGTCGTGCACTATCTGTCCCTGCGAGTCCTCCCGAGCCTCAGCTCCCAGGTCTCACCTCAAGCTTTGGGGATTTGGTTGGTTCCACGCAGCAGACGCGTCTCCCGGTTGCTGGGGAACCAAGCACCGCGACTTGGTTGCCAAGGGGAAAGTCAGTAGGGAGACTTCCTGGGTGAAAGTTGACAGATCACGTGACCACATCTCCGGGTGGGAAAACATTCCTTACACCAACCAGCCGTAGAGAAAACAAATGTTTCTCCAATCGGTACTTTCTATGGGCGGGGATATTCCTAGATTCACCTCTCTTCCGTCCTCCTTTCTGGATGATTGACTCGTCTTTTGTCCAATAATAGTAAGGATCCTTTAGATTGCCCAAAATATAGATGAATCAAAATGCACAGCTCTCTCTTCGGGGGCGGGCCAGGGGAGGTGCCGCCACGGCTGTCAGGGACTCCGCTGACCTAGCTAGCTCCTCAGCCCAATCGGACGCTGCGGGGTGGGTGGGGCTTTGCTGACGAAGGTGTAGCGGCCAATCGGACGCGGGCTTCGTAGGTGTCCCCCCAATAAAGACGCGGCAAGAGGGCGGGGCTAGGGGACCTGGCCCTCGGCGTTCCAGAGGGTGGGGAGGGGGCAAGTGTCAGTCAGGACTGGATCCCGGCGGGGTACAGAGGAGACCTCGGTGGCAGACAGGGGGCCCGGGCCGCTGCGTGTTGTCCACCCAAGATGGAGTTCCTCCTGGGGAACCCGTTCAGCACCCCGGTGGGGCAGTGCCTCGGTAAGGCTGCGTGAGGGGCGGGAGGCTGGGCGACGGCGGCAGCTGATCTGGCTGGTGAGGACCGTGGGCCTCCGCCGGGCGCCGGTGCCACCTCACGAGCGGGCTGGGCCTCCGCCACGCGCGGGTGCCACCCCACGGGCGGGCTGGGCATCCCGGTCATAGGGCTTTCGCCGGGTGCCAGTGCCACCTCACGGGAGGGCTGGGCATCCTGGTCGTTGGGCCTTCGCTGGGCGCCGGTGCCACCTCACGGGAGGGCTGGGCATCCTGGTCGTCGGGCCTTCGCTGGGCGCCGGTGCCACCTCACGGGAGGGCTGGGCCTCCGCTGGGTGCCAGTGCCATCCCACGGAGGGCATCTGTGTCCTCGGGCCTCTTCCCGGACACTGGTGCCACCTCACGGTCGCCAGTGCCTCTCTGCCAGGAGGCGCCCCTGAGGCCCAACTTAGACTCGGAGATGCTCCAGGCTTCCCTGCCCATCAGGACTCAGCCCTTCCTTTTGCTCCTAGAGGTGGTGCCAACTGCTGGTCTGCTTCCCCCTTGCCCTTTGGGAGGTGCTACTGCATGTGCCCTTATCCAGCCCAGCAGGCTTGCTGCCACCGCCCCTAGGACCCAGTTCTCTGAAACCCTTTGTGGGATGTCACCTCCTTCTCCGTCCTTGTTCCTCCTCTTCAGTACCAGCAACCCTCAGACTGGGCACCCTCCCAGAAATGCCCCCTGCTCCAGGACTTGCTAATTTGAGCTGCAACTCAGCTGGGCTGTAGGAGGGACTGGGATGGGAGGAGGGGCTCTTGGGGGTTGATTATCTTGGCAGGGGGATAGCATGCCTGCAGTGCCTCCCAGGAAAGAAGGGAGGCTGTGTAATTTAATGATAAGAGCCCTGGACTGGGAATCATGGAAGCCTGGACTCTAGCAGTGGTTTTGCCAATGACTCCATGTGACATTGTGCCCTTTCTAGTTTGAAGCTCTCCTGTCTGTCAAGTGAAGTGTTTGAAGATGAGATGTGGTAGGTCCCTTAAAGTTCTCAAGTTTTGATATTCTTTATAGTACTCTGCACCGCTGACTGTTGCTCCCACCCCCGCCCCCCAACCATATGAAATTTACCAAAGCTGAATCTTTTGTTGGCAACGTAGAGAGAATGGTACCCAGCCTTATCTGTTAATCCTATGGGGGGATCTGGATACCTGGGGACACCAGAGATGGCCAGAATCCTGGATAAGGAAAGCCCAAAGTGTAGGTAAAGTAATACCGGAAATGGCTACCATGTGAGACTTCCTTACTGAAAAAGCAACTTGCTTTTTCACCCAAGGCAGTGGCTTATGCCACTTGATCAGTCAAGAATGCTAATTAGTTTGTTTGAAAACTGGGTTCCTCCTGGTTAGTCGAAGGACTGGTAAAACGTCTTTTATGAGCCAGGATCTTTGGTGTTCTTATGGGCCTGATTTCGGCAGTAGTGATTTGTTTATTTTCTGCTTTGCTTATGAAATTCTAGCTTACTGTCAAGACTTTAGTGGGGCCTGTAAACTTATTGAGGTCTCTCCTGTTGGCTAATTAGCATTTAGGAGCCTTGCTTTACTTTCTGGTGTAGTATCTTTTATAATGCCAAAAGAGTGTCTTCCATGTTGTGGACATCTTGTCCTTGCAACCCACTGGAGCGTCTCTGGATTCTCACCTCCTTTCTTCTTCTTCATGTCCTCTCCCCACTTTCCTCAGATGCTCCTGCATGGCAGCCACATTCCAAAAACTCATTTTTCAGTTGGATGTTGAATTCCAGCCAATTAATGGAGGTACCAGAAAACTTGGGGGAATGGTTTTCTTTTCTGTCCCCTTTATACTAGGAACCTCTACACCTGCAAAATGACAAGGTAGTAGTCGAGGGTTAGAAGTTAATTTAAAATACAAATATAAGGGATGTAGGGATATATAGCAAGTGGTAAGAGCATGATACTTCTGTCAGGAAGACCTGAGCTGAATTTTGACCTGGGCCATTGCTTGGCTGTGTGACCCCAGAAAATTGTATTGCCTATCTGAAGTTTAGTCTGTCAGTCAGAGAGAGAGAGAGAGAGAGAGAGAGAGAGAGAGAGAGAGAGAAAGAGATTCATATTCACAGAGTAATGCAGCTTAATTGAGATAATGTATGAAAACACTTAGCATAGTATCTGGAACATTGTAGCAGCTCAGTGAATCGAAACTGCCACTGTTAATAACAGAATACTTTTAAGTTAGGGTTGGATTTTCTATCTGGAGAGGGTATGTGAAATAACTGGCCTGTCTGTGACCTGTGAGGGAAGATACCCTACCAGGCCCCAGGGTTCACAAAAGATGCTTGACTGTAAAGATGGTGATGGCTCCCCATTGCCAGGTAGCCAGTAGGTCATTTCAGTTTAGTTCAGGTAAATGATTAATGGATAGAACAAGGCTCTAATGTATATTTTGTACTATTGTGACAAAGTGTCAAAGTGACTTTCTCATGACATTTAGTGTGTTAGTACTATTTTAAAAGAATGTGGGGGGGGGCGGGTAGTGCACTGGTGGGAGGGAGGGAAGGGGAATACAGAAATAAAGTAACAACAACAAAGCTAATGATTAAAAACTGCAGCTGTAAGTGGGTTGTGGTGGCTCACGCCTGTAACCCTAGCACTTTGGGAGGCCGAGGCAGGGGGATCACCTGAGGTTAGGAGTTTGAGACCAGCCTGGCCAATGTGGCAAAACCCCGGCTCTACTAAAAATACAAAAATTAGCTGGGCGTGGTGGTACATGCCTATAATCCCAGCTACTCAGTGGCTGAGGTAGAAGAATCACTTGAACCAGGAGGTGGAGGTTGCAGCGAGCAGAGATTGTGCCATTTGCACTCCAGCCTGGGCGACAGAGTGAGACTCTGTCTCCAAAAAAGAAAAAAAAAAGAGAGAGAGAGAGAGAGAGAGAGTAAGCCTAGCCAAGGTGTGAGAGGCTAAGAAGTGCAGAGGAAGAAAGAGTACTTACTTGTATTTCTTAATTTTCTGTTCTGCAACAAGCTTCAAAATGTTAACTGCCATAATCTTAGCCTTCCACAACTGCTTGGAGTTGAATGACAGCTTGGAGTTGGATCTCATACATGGAGAGTTCCCCAAGTCAGGTCCACTGTGGTCTGCAGAAGTTTGCAGTTTTCCTTGTGTTGGCCAGAAAAAGTTTTCAGAAAATCCTTTTCCAAGAGTAAAGTTTAGATTCAAAGATCAGTGGATAGTTAGTTAATTCTGACCAAAATATTGCAGGTGGTGGGCGGATATTCTCCCCATTGTTCTGCTTTAATAAACAGGCAAGAAACAGATATTCTGTTGCAGAGTTTGTTTGTAGATTGAGCGGTGTTACACATAAACTACTTCAGACTATCCTGTGAATGGTAGATGTTAAACCTGGCCATTTGTACCAAGAATAATTAGTTGTGCCTCAGATTGCCATGTATATTAGGGTCTTTTTTTTTTTTTTTTTTTTTGAGACAGAGTCTTGCTCTGTCACCAGGCTGGAGTGCAGTGGCATGATCTTCGCTCACTGCAACCTTCACCTCCCAGGTTCAAGCGATTCTCCTGCCTCAGCCTCCTGAGTAGCTGGGATTATGGGCATGTGCCACCACACCCAGCTAAGTTTTGTATTTTTTCTTTTTTTAAAGACGGGGTTTCACCATGTTGGTCAGGCTGGTCTTGAACTCCCAACCTCAGGTGATCCACCCACCTTGGCCTCCAAAGTGCTTGGATTACAGGCGTGAGCCACCACGCCCGGCCAGTTTCATATTTTTAGTAGAGACAGGTTTCACTATGCTGTCCAGGATGGTCTTGATGTCTTGATCTCGCCATCTGCCCGTGTTGGCCTCCCAAAGTGCTAGGATAACAGGCCTGAGCCACCGTGCCCGGTCTGTATTAGGGTTCTCTAGGAGGACAGAGACAGAATTAATAAGATAGATGTATGTATTACAAGGAGTTTATTAAGGAGTATTGACTCACACAATCACAAGATGAGGTGCCACAATAGGCCATCTGCAAGCTGAGAAGCCAGGCAGCCAGGACAAGTCCCAAAACTGAAGAACATGGAGTCTGATGTTTAAGGGCAAGTATTTGCAAAGCCCTTTTGCTTCACTGATTTTATTTACTGTGCACAATCTTGTGAGATACACAGGAAGAGAACTGGAAGGAACTTATAATTATTAAGTGCCAACTATATGCAAACTCTGTACATGGAATCTCATTTAATCCTCACAACATTTAGCTATTTGGGTGTTATCATCCCTGTGTCACATAGGGAAATTGAGGCTCTGAGAAGTTAAGAGACTGGTACAAGGTCAGTGCCGTAGGTAAGCCTAGAATCTACTCCTGGGCCAGTGCTCATTCTGTGCTGCTATGTATGTTACTTTTTGCTCTCAGATCTCATGATTCAGCCTCAAGGGAATCACCAGGAGGGCTTGTTAAAAGTGGAGCCCACCCTCAGAGTTTCTGTTTCAGTAGGTTTGGGGTGGGAACTAGCATTCTACATTTCTGTCAAGTTCTCTAGTGATGCTGAAGCTGCTGGTTCACTTTGAGAACTGTTGTTCTTGATTTAAAGTTCTGTTTCTTTTTTCTTTATCTTTCTTCAACATTAAATGTGGGTTTTCTTGTGGACAGACTAAAGAGTGATTATTTAGAATTTGTTCATTTATTCATTCAGTGGCCCTGTACTGACTACGTGTGTATACCAAGCTAAGAATTTCCTAATGTATAGATATCTAAAATAAATAAGGTAGAAAGTAGTCATAAGATTGGATAGATAAATGTAGTAAGGGAATGGAGGAGAAGGGTGGCCTCAGGTAGTAATAATAATAGCTAAAGGTTTTAGGGTTTTTGTTTTTTGTTTATTTGTTTGTTTTGTGTTTTCTTGAGACAGAGCCTTGCTCTGTCGCCAGGCTGGAGTGCAGTGGCGCGATCTCAGCTCACTGCAACCTCCGCCTCCTGGGTTCAAGCAATTCTCCGGCCTCAGCCTCCCAGTTTTGGGTTTTTCTT